ATTCACACCTACATGTCCACCAATGGATTATCGTGTGCTAGTCTCTTTATCTCATATCTAGATGCCCTGGGCACAACAACTTGGTATACAATTACCTACTCTTCACTGGCGGAATATAAACTGGACGCCATTTTCTCCTGAGTACACCATTCTTAATTAAATATCCTACAGGGATTGTCTCTAATTCATCCACAGGTGGGGCTGTATTCACAAGTACGGCAATCTCTGGATCTCTCCCCTGTTCTAAAAGAAGCTAACTTTTCAAGGACAACTCAACCTTCATGTCACTTCGCCTGTCAGACCCATTAAAAACTTTATCTCTGAGAGAATCTTTAATAACAGAAGGATGATCATTGTCTTCGGTATGGGACACGAATGTACCTGACAAATCAAAATGTCATCCTGTAACACAGCTTTAATCCTTGCTGAATTTTCAGTATCTACTGATGCCTTTTTGGCCATCGCTCGAGTTACTGCACAGGCTGGAAATAAATCCGACATTCCTGCTTCAACAAATTCACTATCCTCACAAGGGCTTGGCTTCGAAACAACAAAAGGATCAGTAGTAACCTGACTAACTGCCAAGTCATTACCCAGCAACAAAGATACACCCTTAACTGGCAAAGTAAGCCTAACACCTACGATACCAAATCCTGAGACTAAGTCGGACTGTAAATAAACTTTATGCAGAGATACATTCACAAAGCTATCCTTAATGCCCTGGGCTACAACATATTCACTAGTGGCTGACTCATTAGAAAAAGGCAGTGTCTCCTACAATAACAAAGACTGGGTAGCCCCAGTAGCCCGAAGAAGTTTAATAGGCATGGGATTAGACTTAACCTTACTAATAGACACAAAACCCTCTGTCACAAATAGCATAAATTCTTTTCTCACAGGTTCAGACTCACAATGACTCTTGTGTGAGGAAACAAGAGCATCAGGTGACACCTTTTTTATTCTTTGCTTTCAGAGTCCAACATTCGGAAATTACGTGGCCCTTACTCTTACAATAATGACAAACAGGAGCACTATAGCCTAACTGACTGGACTTGATTGGCGACTTCAACCAGATCTAGGAGAGCAAAGGAGGGCTTGAGATCAATAACCGAATAACCATTGGAACTACTACCATTTCTATTAGAGGGAGAATTAAAGTGTTTGGGCTTATAGAATCTAATTTTGTGAGTTGAGGCAAAATAATCAGTCAACGTGGCAGCCTGTTGCAAAGTTTTTACTTTCCTCTCGTCAAGATGTCTTGACGTCATCCTTAACACACTCTATAAATTATTCCCCAAAATCAATTGTTTCAGACTTTCAAAGTTGTCATTCACCTTTTTAGATGTGCACTACCTTTTAAAATAAACTTCTTTCTCATGGGCGAATTCCACATGGGTTTGGGTGTCGTGTTGTCGGTAATTACGAAATTTTTGCCTGTATGCCTCAGGAACTAGTTCATAGGCTTTGAGAATGGCAGATTTTACAACATCATATTTTGTACAATCGTCAATCGAGAGTGCATTATAAGCTTCTTGAGCTTTACCTCTAAAGACACTTTGCAATAAACTTGTCCAGGAACTGTCGGGCTACTCTAAACTTTGGGCTACCTTCTCGAAATGTTGAAAATATTTATCTACCAGATGTTCATTGAATGGTGGTACCATTTTAACACGACGACTATTGTTAAATCTATCTGATGTTCATTGAATGGTGGTACATTTTAACCATTCAATGAACATCAGGTAGATTTAACACTAGTCGTCGTGTTAACATGGTACCACCATTCAATGAACATCAGGTAGATTTAACAATAGTCGTCTGATACCATTTTAACACGACGACTAGTGTTAAATCTACCTGATGTTCAATGAATGGTGGTACCATTTTAACAAGACGACTAGTGTTAAATCTACCTGATGTTCATTGAAAGGTGGTACCATTTTAACACGAACGACTAGTGTTAAATCTACCTGATGTTCAATGAATGGTGGTACCA